GAGGCAAGCTCAAATACAACCCTCTAAGGTGAGGGGAGCACTGCCTGAGACAGCATTACACAAGAAGGTTCTCGCAAATGCCACCTATACTTCCCACTCGATGCCTCAGCTAGAGGGGATATCCTGGTGATCAGGAGGCCCCTCTGGGCGACCTAGATACAGTAAACCAGACAGGGCAGCCTGAAAGCATAAGCCCAGCCCAGACGTCCAGGAAATTTTTGCAGTGCCATACCGGGGGCCTGATGATCAAGAAGGCTCCCGCAGAAGCCTGTGATCTGGCCGCATGATCCAGGAAGTATGAAGCCGAAACCCGGCTTATTGTATCGTCTGGACATATATCGACGAGTGAGATAAACACTGCAAGCCGAGCACCCGGTTTCTGAATCCAGCAGAGGGGGTGCTCACCGAGGACCTACCTTAGAACAAGGACAGAAACACACAGGTCCCGGGAAACACTGCAAAGAAAGCTAGCAGAAAGGTTATACACACAACCACCAGCGCATTAAATACACACACATACATATTTAGAAATGGATCGTACTCGCACACCATGGTTCCCGCGTCGGAGCCCCGTCCGAAGAAGCTTCTGGTCTGGACCATCAGTAAGGTGGTCACTATGAAGCCATAGAAACAACCAAACATCATAGGTCCAGTATAGGAGACTGTAATGCAGGAAATTCCCCCCTAACCTCAGTCAGGTGGAGATGGTGGTTACAGGGAAATTAGGAAGGGGAAGATAAGGGCAGATGTAAGACCCCCGAAGGAAATGAGTGGATACTGAGGTATCCCTCTTGATCCGGACAAAAGTGCTGACGCCCTGTCTGGATCACATCCCTTAGGTCTTTACCTACCTTCCTTTGACCCGCGATTATTCCTACCCCTACCCGCGGGCGGTGAAGGACAAGGAGGGAGTCTTAAAAGAGGACCCATAGAGAGATAGCTGGCCAACGTCTCTCTATAGGGGCATCTTCTCATAACTGCTTTCGCACATCGCCTCGATGTTGGCATAACTCGTATGCTGGAATCGATGGATGCGGGAGGAAAAAACGGCCTCTTCCATTCCTTCTCAATCTCTGTATGGAAAACAGGAAGAAACGAATGCTCACCTGAGCTGGAGGGTTATGGCCAGAAAAAATAACGTTCATCAAGATGACCTCGCGACGTCACTTTTTTCGCCCGCTTCACAGAAGTAAAGCCTCGCCGTGGCGTGATTCATAACTTTCAAAAGCTCATCATACGCAGGGCAGGAAGATTGGGAAGGTTCAGCCTCAGCTTCTTTGCCCTCCTCAGACATTTCCTGCTTTTGCTGGGCCGAACCCAGCAGAGCACTGGCTCCTGGATCAGATAATGTTAATGAAATAACATCATCCTCCAACGGCTCACTCTCGTCCACAGCCGATGATCACAAGAGGGAAAACCCCTCTTCAAACTCATCTGCCAGATACACCTGCGATCCCCACGAGCTCATTCTCCTCCGTGCCTCAGCAGCGGCGGGTCCTGAATCGCGGGAAGCAGATGGCTGCCCGTCTTTCCTCGAAAAGAGAGACAAACGAGAGCGGAGCTTTTTCATTGGAAAAATGCTTGCAATGCACGCTGATTACCCCCTCGGAGACATTGCGTGCGTGCTCTTCGCCCAAACAAATAACGCATAGATCGTGTGTGTCATCAGATGTTAAACAACGACAACACGGATGCACACGTCCTCTTAAACGCTTTGCTAGTGCTCGCCATAATGATATGAATAGAGATCGCTCTTACCACAGCAATACACGCTTCAAACAAAACAGTCAATGAAGACGAAGAAGAGGATGATGTGTGCTCCCTGCGCCTATTTATACTATAGTCGCACCAGTAGTGACGTCATGGCTGTCGCCGTCCAACGTGTTGTTGGTGTTTTTTCAATAGCTGTGTCTCATTTAGAAGGCTGCGTCCTCCGGAGGTCGCATTCGAAGGCTGCATACGTCATCGAGGCTGTCTCATTTCAGAAAAGCAAGTAGGACACTCTGAATGCGACCTTCTGTCACATGAATTCGGAGGATGCATGAGGTGTATCCTTCGCTGCTACAGATAACCCACAATTCTTTGCGTCGCCGTGAACAACCGTTGGTAATTTGAAAAATGCCGGCGCCGGCAGATGTAACGTACACACAAGCGCAGATGTGGTGTTTACAACTTACCTTAATTCGCCTCGGTAAAAACGGATAAACTTTGTTTTTAATAACCTCCTCCTTTTTTTATCTACTAGATGCCTGCTGTACGTACGCTGCAGCTCCTCAAACATTGAACAAAATATAACAAGTAAAAGCATTTTTTTTTTCAAATCACTTTCCAAATTTAGAAATCATTTTCCTTCAGTTAAGTAGTGTGAGAGCGCAAGGGTGCTCTAAATGTGTTGGCATAGCAACGTGATACTTCCGGTTTCCTTTTCCGCCTGTCCTACGAAGGCCGTCTCGTTTAATTCTAGGTTGAGGACACTTCGTATATGCATCCTACAGAGGATGCGACCTCCAGAGGATTCGACCTCCGGAGGGTGCAGCCTTCTAAATGAGACACAGCTAATGTATGCTTCAGACACGGTCACGACAAGGCGTTCCCCATAGCGAGCCCTACAGGACGCAGTTTGAAGTTCCCATGAAAGGGAACTCAAATTGTATTTTCAGTGTTGGTCACAGCGCCTTTTAATTGCTGTTTTGGACCCGGCAATTATTCATTTACAAATTAAGCACTGAGTATAAATCATTATAATCCGTAATTATGTCCCCACTGGATGCAACAAATGCCTCGTTTATAATGAATTTTAATGTTTTTGTCTCATCGCTCGGGACACGGCATCACACGGTAAGGGACGTAACATTTCCGTCAGAAGCTTGAGGTAGGCTAATCAGAGCACACCTCGCTTTTCAGACAGATGAGCTTTGTAAAAATCTGCGTTTCAGAAAGGCGGTGCATAGAGGAGAAACAATAGCGTACAGTATGTGGAACAATGTGTTTTTTTAACCTTAAACCGCATAAACACATTTCATTACACCAAATAATGTTCTTTTTAGCAACATCATATGACCCATTTAAGAGAAATAATCAATGCTCTAATTATGAACATTCAAAATAAATCAAAACATGTTTCTTATCAAGTAGCCTAAAGCTGCGGTGAAATCATACCTGCTAAAACAGGAACTGGAACCAAAAGGAAACACATAATAGCAGCATAGGTTGTGTTCATTTTGTTGTTGACGAAACACCTGTATAGGCTGGTTTTGATAATCACAGAGAATGTTGAGAATTACATTTTTGAGAACCACAGCTGGTTCCTGTGAGATGGTTGCATAAATGAACTTTTAACTGCGGAAGCGACCCTGTCCCAAGTGGGACACTTCATGTAAACTTGCAGTGTTAACTTGGCCGCCGCGTGCGCGTGTCCGTTTAATCGAAGAGATCGTATGGTGTCCCATTCGTCATTTTAGGTTTAAAGAGATCCCAAGCCCCATCGATGCCCACTTCAGCCGACTAAACTGAGGCGAGCTGCGCAGCAGATGTAAATCATAGTCAAAGCGGCGTTTACTGGAGGCTACGTCTCGAAAGTGTAGGAGGGTGGGTACAAATTTGGGATAGGACGAGGACCAACGCCCTGCCTGTGTAAATTTTGGAAATCAGGGCGCAGAGTAGGCTAATCTGGGAAATTAAGTTCTTTTGCGAGTTGTATGAATAAAAATCACAACACCACACAGTTTGACAATTTAAAATATATAATTAAATTTAAAGTGACAATTTTAAAATCTGTAGCTACCTATAGAAAACCGTCCAGTGCTAATAGGCGACAACAATGTCATGCAAATAAAGCTGAATTGCACTGAAAGAGAAAAATAAATATGAAGCATTAGGCTACGGTGTCACTGTTTTTTTGTCCTCGAATGCTTTGTCGATATTGGAAACAACAGCTAAATACGCTTGTTCCATAGTTTCTTTAGATGCTGAAAAATAAATAAAATTAATGATCTACAAATATTATGTAGGCTACATTTTTGCGATCGCTGGATTTATTTTTGGTAATGCGCAGTGCAAACAGCCAAAACCTGATCTGTGTCACAATATCCTAAATTCTATGTGATATTAGTAATTTTCAATACTATTTAGGGCAGATATAGTATGCACATTGGGACGCAGGGATGGTTATTTTAGGCAGAACGTGACCTCGGAAAATTAATGGTTCTGTCTGTCCAACCCGTTTGTGTGTAGCCTAACCACGTTTCTTTTATCATACTGAAGATTACAGAACGGACCAATCACAGCTGTGCTTCTCATCTGGTGCCCCCAGGATGGTGTACCAGATGAGCTCCACCTATATTCTTTATATATAGAAACACTATAAACTCCGGGAGCGGAGGTTGTCCACTGGTGAACGTGATTTTACCAAGTGCAAAATGTTCCTGGATCAACACCAAGCAACCAATCAGAATTGAGGGATAAGTTTACAGAAAATGTCAGTTTTATCCGCACAACCAGATTTAGGTGCGTATACATTCTTGTTTTTCTACAATCATTTCCTCCTGATTTTAGGGATAAATTATCGGTAGGGGTTAGGTTTAGGAGGAGGGATAGGGTTAGGTCTGTGTTTTTGGACAATAATGTTGATCCAGGACCAACAAAAGATGTTGATCCAGGAACATGTCTTACTTGGCAAACAACTGGACAACTGCACTTCACGCACAATAGAACCACACCTTTAACCTGCCCATCCATTTGCCACACCCAACATCAGAGTCATTGTTTTGTAGAATAAAAAGTTTGCTAAATGATTTTACACATTGCAACCAGCATTTCACACAAGAGTAGGCTATATAAAGATGTAAGAACTGTATTCTCAGGCAATAAGACGTGGTGACAGTGTAAAATAATTTGCATATATAGGTTTCACCTTAAAAGACCCTGCTTACCTGGCCTTTTATTTGCTCTTTAAAATAGCCTGTTGCAATATTTGTGACTTCAAGTTTTCAGTCCACACTGGCTGTAGTTTTCCAGTGCAATGTGTGCTGCTGTAATGACAGTAAATGCTCTCAACTTCTACTGTAATCACCTAGAATGTTGTTAATCCAGATGGAGGATATAGCTAAAATAAAGTTTGAGTCGAAAGAACATTAATGCAATGATCAATTAACTGAATATAACACCCCTTTAGCTCATAAATTAATGTATTTTTTCTATGGGGTCTTTGGCATCCATGGGGTCAATGCGTTCACTTCTTTGAAAAAAGGGAGAGAAAAAAAATTGTACTCAGTACAACACAAATACATGCACTTTTATATTTTAATGCTCATTTCCTAATAAACCGAAGATTCTTTACATTGACTGAATCAGACCACTAGATGCCACTACGTGCATTCAGTTCAGATAGCAGCATGGATTACTCAACATCAGCATAGTCTGTCACTTCAAACATTACAACAAATTGCTGGCAGGCCACAATAATAATACCATATATTCATCATATAATGCTTTTTAGAAAAATATACAGACCCTCTTTTTATAAACTAAAAGTACTTCTAGTACTTTTGTGTGAATGTTTTGTGAAGTGCTCTATACTATACTAACATGAACCACAAATTGTAATTCTTAATATTGACTTGTAATACTCAGTCAGGTTACTATTGTATGTCACCACATACTTTCAATTCAGATGGATAAATGCCGAAATAGGTTGTTTTGGGACAGTTCGCATGATCTCTGATGGCTCACTTTTAAACTGATAAATTGATTAAACTGATCAATTAATCATCACCTCAAATGTTACAATAACTAAGCAAAACATGAAACAAAATCCCATTATCTTTATTTGCGCTCTCAGTACCCCTCTTATCAATGACCTTGTTACAAGCAACCAATAAAATATTAAATGGGCACACAACACAAACATATGACACAGTCACACATGTATATAGCCAGACAGACTTTGGTGATTGCCAAAGAAAAACTCAAATGTAAAACAGCAAGCAGGATCAATGGCAGAATGCACAAAAACAAAATCAGACCTAGCAATACAGTAACGATACTATACACGCACCATAAAATGCTACCTGAAAAAGAACCTAGAATAAACCCTCTTGGCAACACTCCTGTCTATAAATAAATTCATTTAAATTCCTTGTAACATTTGACATATTTAGACTTAAGGGATAAACAGAGTAGCTGTTAATTCACTGTTATTCTCCTATTATACTGCATGAGAAGTAAATCTCAACTGGAAATCTCACAGCTTGTTAAAAGCAAATACTGCAACAGCTCAGATGCATCTTAACAAATCTCAGATTGTTATTCCATCATATGTGACATTTCCAGTGTATAAAACAATGTGATGGTTTGATCTGCTTGTAAATAGGATGAATGTCTTCAGAAGATTACAAATCATCATGATCTGTACATGGACACAAATGTTATTTAACATAAGACACTCATCTAAATAGCTGTTATTCCATTCTGAGGATGGTACAGTAATGTTAATTTGTATCAAAATTGGTGCATTTTAATTTTACCATGCTCCAGGAAACTACGTGCAGATATTAAGCATACAGTATGTGACTAATACAAACAAAGCATATGCCATTATACACCGTGATCTTGTAAAAATTCAAAATAAATCTCAAAGTAACCTCAAAAAGCATACCAGGACTTTAAATTAGGCCTACCTCTCTCTCTCTCCTTCTGCTCGTCTTGGATGCCTGCTCATGCAAATGGCTATTGCCGGTGGTACAAAGGTTAAACAGGCATAAAGCTGCCAAGAGACTTATCAAACAAACATGTGACCTGCCAACTGCAATAGCCTTGATGCTGATCTTGTTAGCTCTGATATTTCATCCATAAGAGTTCCTGACTGGTTTTATTGAAGATCTGTGTTCATATCTTTAAAATGATAGTTGGACTTACTTTTTCTCTCCATTCTCCTCATATTCACTTCGGTAGAACCCTGCCAGGTCATCTGCAAGTTCTCCCACAAACTCTGTGTAAAGCTCATAGAGCTCTCCAGCTTTCAGCGTGCCCTTCAACTGTATGACAAGGTACTGCGTCATCTCCTGCATCCAGGTTTTATGAATTGAGGGCGCCACTGAGGTACCAAGCGCAGAGAGTTTGGCCAGATATCCATCTATTGAGGTCAGGTTCAGCTTATTGGAGTGAATGAGGTCGGTCTCCCTCAGACATTTGAAGACCACACTGGAATTTCCAGTGAATACAAAGAGGCCATGAACGTTCGGCTGGAGTTGAGGCCAGAGCATGATGTTGTAGTAGTCTGGAACCAGAGTGTCTGGTAGACGATACTCGTTCCAGGGCTCAGCAGGAGCTTCTGTAGAAGGAAGGAGTTGAACGGTCCACAACCCAACAATGGTGGCCAGTGATGCCATCCCCAGGAAAGTGCATCCAACACACATTGCACTAAAATGGATTCTCACCATGTTCCCCTTCACCACAGATTAGTAAAAATCAAACCAAACTGTGATGGCATTTTATTTATTCTTCCCACCTTCTCTCCTACCAAAGGGTATTATGGCTTATCCATTAACACTGAGACTAGCCAGTGAAAGAATCTGGTAACCTGATAAGTTGAGGTGCACTAAGATAATATAATATGGCATTTGTCTTCCCTGACATGTTTATTCAGCCATTACTCTTTAGTAGAGTGTGACGTTGAGAATCGTGGGGAAAAGCTCAGAAAAACAAGCACGGCAGCATCACAGCCATAAAGTCATGTATTGTAATCCAAAAAATCATTGTAATTTTATGTTTGTATTAGATGTTAAGCCTTATTCTGAAATAAACTAGAATCCAGACCAATATTGAAATTATAAAGAAATGTTGACAATAATTAAAAATCAGCTGTGTTTTTAAAACAGGAAAGTAGATTAAGAAACATTTAAATATAAGTTTCTGCTGTACAAGATCAGTCCTGGGGAAGATCACATACCTGTTGCAATTCAAATTCAGTTGAGAATCTGTTTGTGACGCCATTGATCAGATTGGAGAAGGAGAAAGATCCACCTCCATACCTAATGGACAATAGATATGCAGTTATAGAAAACTGCATCTGTATTTTTAAGCAAATAAAAGCACAGACCCCCAGTATTTTTTCTTACTGATTGAAAATGTACTCCCAGTTGGCTCTAACAAAATCCCAGGCCAATGGTTGGCCGACCACATTGCTTGCAATGCTGATGATGGTAGAGGTGGCATCTTGTTTCCGAATTTTTTCTGGATCCAAAGTGTATTTGAGATACCTACAACATAAATCAAAGCATGTGTATTTAGCTTAATACAATGAGAGCTGTATGTATTTGTCAGCATTAACCTGCAGTGATCTCACCTGTTCAGTAACCAGGGCTCAGTGGCACATGCCATTGCAGCTCTCAGTTTATCTTTTTCTGAAGCAACAGTGGCTTTTTCAAACATCTCCCAAGCAAAGTTCCACTCCTTCTCACCACCTGCAGCAATGGCACTGCAGTACACTGCAGACCTCAAGTTGGCCTTAATTCTGAAGCAGTGAGAAAATTAAAAAATGACAGTTAAATGGTAATCTATTAAAAGCATTGTTCGCACAAAAATGAAAATTCTGTCATTAATTACTCACTCTCATGCCGTTCTAAACCTGTAAGACCTTCATTCATCTTCAGATTACAAATTCAATTACAAATCAGTGGTTC